TGTTGAAGCTTTAACAGCCAATGATTTCAATATAGGAATTAGATAACAAAGTAATAATGCTCCTATTAATAGTGTCACTCCTAAAATTGTTCTAATAATTTTTAACCAGTAAGGCATCCCATGTTTCTAGTTTTAGATCAAACCTGTCCCATATTTTTTATCTCTTCATGTATTAGTTGCCATTTCTACCTGTAATTCTTTGAGGTTTGTCTTGGCTTTTGCAAAAGTAGCTTCTGGTGCTGTATTATTTGACATGTAAGTACAACATTGATCATCACATAATTTGCATACCCAATTTATCTGCCAACATCCAATTACTGATAAACTGTTTTGCCATGTCAATCTACTAGTTGCATCTAATTTTTCTCCTAAAAAATTAAAGCTTAATTTGTTAATAATTAATAAACCTAATAATAAATCTTTGTTGATTGTAGTAAATCTAATTTATTCATTCTGTATTTTTATTTTGAGAAATCCAAACAAGTATTGATTGATTCAGCTCCTGATTTAACCTTATCTCTTGCTTTGAACTGATTTGGTATGCCTCTGGGCTGACCTATGAAATGTATACTTTGGGTATCATTTTTCGATATCATATTTTAAACTGCCTTTATAATGCAAGCTGAGATTGCATTACTCAGCGATGCAATGTCAGACACAATGCACTCAAATTGAGCGAGTGACATCACTGTGAGGGGTAGGGTTAGGGGTGGGGTTATGTGAGCCCATTAAAAAGCATTGTATGCAGCTCAGATTGCACTGCACCAGGTCTGCATCCAGACCCATCTAAAAATGCCATCCAAACGCTGCTATTTCCACATCATGTTTCTGTATTTTGGCTTCTAAAGGACATGACACGAGATGCGTGCTTACATTTTAATTTAAATGTTCCAGAGCATTATAAAAAAGAAAGAAATGCCAGCATTTGACAATGGACAGCTTCCAGAATCTATTTCAGTTAATTGCTAGATTTGGCTAAAATCTCCTCCAACTGACGAAGCTGTGGATTGTGAGCCACAACCTGTACGTTTTTTTATTTGTTAAAATCGATCAATTATGTGTACATACACAGTTTCTAGCATTAACAGTATGTTGTAGCGAGGACGTAAACAAGGATGTACACAATGGGAAACGCTGTTTGGCACCGCTAACAGTTTAACTACAAATTCATATTTATTTGTCGAACCGCTGTAAACACCCACAATCTTCACCAGTGCTGCAGTGTCTCTATGCGGCCGCTTTACCTGCATTCTACATCTTAAAGACCAACTCGGATAAGATATGTGAATGTTTCATTTTACTTACACATGCTTATTTGAAGTGTATGCGAAAGACACTTGTTAGATTTCATTTTAGAGAGCAGGCTTGTGGTTCATCTCTGTGCTTTTCATTGTCTGTCTGATTCAGGCACAAACTGATAGCTAACAGCTACTCTGACTGACTGTTAACACAGTGTAAATGCTTGTGCTTGAAGGTGTATGACGTCTTCCCTGGTGACGTAAAGCAGATCCATGAATCACAGCATATTATGTTAGCTGACAGAAATATGACAGTCATTTTCATGTTAGCTGAATAGCTGTATATAATCAAAGTAGGGTATATGAAAAAATTATGTAATTTTTCTACAAATGAAGCATGAACACACATTGTTTTGCATCTTTTAAACAGAATAAGCCTTAAAAATGCACTCTGGACCACCTCTTTAATAGTTCTGTTTACCATCCTTGGCCACATTTCACTCTTCATTGCTCTCCACTGAGGGCTTTTCTGGTCGGTTTCCTGTTGGTGTTCTTCTATTGCAGTTTTTTTTTTTTCCTTTGGAGCCCTTGCGCAGTGGTATAGATGGTGACAGATTGTTCTTCCTTCTACTAGGACTGACATTGGACTTGCCTTCATGACCCGATACGGTCCTTCTTTCCTGGGTTATTTCCACTCTCTCCAGAAAACCTTCAGATACAATTAGTCACCTGGAACAATCATTGCCTTGAACTCATTTTGTCATGTCCACATAATCCATCACCAATTGCTTAAATGGTCCTTCAGGTAATGGGATGTTGCCTATTGGTGTCGCTCTTCCTTTCCTCACATTTTATTTAACAAGGCTTCACATGTGGACAAAAATTCACTGACCATTGCATTTAAATAAGGTGACAAATATCCTTGCAGTTTGATGGTTCTTATCACTTCCCCTTTAGCACAGTGATCAAAACTGTATGATTTGAGATACCTCAAATACGTTGATGTCTCTACATACAGTATGGACAATACAAGCTTGGGGTGTTACTCTTGTTTCCTTCATTTACATTTGAACTCTCTCCTGCACTCTGTTCACACAATCTCCTCTTGATCCAACTCACACAGAATGCTAATCTCAAAGTATGAATATTCTGTATCAATGCAAGTGACTTAATTCATCATATTTGATATAGACTACGGGGGTGATACTATATTGATATGAGAATCCACAGCTGTATCCTATCTAGACTTTATCCCGGGGGATCAGGCAGAGAAGTGCAGGTGAGTTTAGCCGATCATCTGCTGGAGTCTGGAGAGGGACCGCAAGACCCACTGGCAATGGTGCTTGCTGCTCACTCCACTGTAAAGCTGGCATCTCCCGTATGCCAGTCTGCCATCAGCTCACAAGATGGCTTCCTGTTTCGAGTTTGTTTCTGTCATAGTTCCCATTCAAGTGCCTCTTTCTGAAATGCCATCACCTGAGCTACAAGAATGGCCACCACCACCTGAGTTGCCAGAGCTGCCACCACCACCGGAGCTATTACTGCCAGAGCTGCCACCGCCACCTCCAGAGCTGCCAGATCCTCCATCCCTGCCAGAGCTGCCAGATCCTCTAGAGTTGCCAGATCCCCTTTCTGAGTCCCCAAAGAGGGCGCCAGATTCTTCAGAATCCTCTAAACGGTGGGCGCCAGATCCTCCCGAATCCCCCAAACGGCCAGGGGCGCCAGATTCTCTTGAATACCCCAATGTCCAGGGGACTACAAAAAATCTGCTGGTATATGGACTACAAAATCCAGTCAAGCAACACACACCTGCTCCAAATCTCCATTGATTAGACTCCCACAGCTGAAGCTGCTTGCCTGACCATTCTAAATAAACCTAAGTTTGGATTCGCACCTCTTTTTCTTCAGCGTCTCGTTCGCATTACAAAAAAAACGAAACAAAATGACACAAGGAGAGAGTACTGAACTACTGAAACATATTTAATTAATTCATTTTCTTTTCGGCTTAGTCGCTTTATTAATCTGGGGTCGCCACAGCGGAATGGACCGCCAACTCACCCAGCACATGTTTTATGCAGTGGATGCCCTTCCAGCTGCAACTCATCTCTGGGAAACATCAATACACACTCATTTACACTAATACATACGGACAATTTAGCTTACTCAATTCATCTGTACCGCATGTTTTAGTACTTGTGGGGGAAACCAGAGCACCCAGAGGAAACCCATGCGAACGAAAAACCAGAAAAACCAACACAGAAAAACCAACTGACCCAGCCAAGGCTTGAACCAGCAACCTTCTTGCTGTGAGGTGACAGCACTACCTACTGTGCCACTGCGTCGGCAACATATTGAAGACTTTATAGAAGTTTTTTAGTAATGGCAGCTTAAATACACCTCTCATTTGGAGAATGACATTACATGAACTGCTAAGGTGTGAGTTATTCACTTCAACAGCGTGTAAAAATCTGATCTTTAATTTGTATTTTATATTTGAAGTCAGGTGATTGGCTGGGCCATTCTACAGGTTGATTTTCTTTCTCTGAAAGAATTTGAGAGTTATTTTGTCTGTGTTTTGGATCATTGTCTTGGTGAAATGTCCACCCTTGTTTCATTTTCATCATCCTGATAATATAAATGTTGGACTGAAGCAGCTAATATTAGCTTACAATGACGAAGGGCAGAGGGTTGCTGAATAATTACTAAGAGATTTCAGCAGCTGTCTGAGCTTTCACTGGCTTTCTAAACCTTCCTTTCTTCATGTGTTCAATACTTTTCTTTGTGTCATTTAATTTTATTATTTATTATTATTTACACCTGGGGACAATGTCAAGTCAACGGCACCTTTTGAAATATGTTTTCTGAGAAAAATAGTGATGTGTTCGATACATATTTTGCCCAATATATATATAAACTCTGGGATTTAAAGTTGATATTGGTTCCATTAACCCAGCATATTAGAATAACATGAAGTAATGACAAAAGCTTTGATCACAAGAATATGTTTACACTTGAAAACAATGAATCTTTTAATAATAGTTAATTGATAGTTTAAGCATTAACTCTACATTAATAGACAGTAAAGCTTATTATTACAGCCACAAATTCTGTAATCTTGACTTTTAAGCACATATGTGCTAAATTATTTTATTTTCATACTTTGCTAATAATACCTTTTTCACTACTAAATTAATTATTGTATTATATAAAAAAATAATTTATTTAAGAGAAGTTGGTTGAGATAATTTAGAAAATGTAAAGATCATTTTGAATAAATAAGTAAATGATTTATAAACTATTCAAATAAACATTTCTATAACTTATTTATTGATGCATGTAGTAATAGTTATTTTGCATGTTAATACTCAACTCAAACTCAACTAAACTCAATTTTATGCAGTTTTGTGACCTAATCTAAGGTGAGGACTATTTATGCTTTGTTAATTCTTTATGTTTAAGTGAAGCGATGTCATCGTGAAAAGGGTCTATAAAAAAGAAACTAACTTATTTCCAAGCACGAAGAGTTGCTGTGTTTATTTGTGGGCGTACAAGAGTTGGTTGTCATCATGATTTGTGTTTGAATGCCTAAGGCAGGAACTAATTAGCAGACAATGAGCTCTGCTGGGAGAATTCTGCATTACATTCATTGAGCAGAAAAAGCTCCATCATCCATAGAATGTAAATGAGGATGTGGAATTACTAGATGTTAGTACAGCAGCACACATTAACTGTTAACTTATTGTGTTATTTTGTATGTTTTAGGTGCAGTTTGGCCATGCTGGAGCATGTGCCACGCAAGTGTTAGAGACAGCTGTTGCCAAAAATCAAGCACTGCGGGAAGCAGGTGCATTTGTGCCCAATAGCTTTGATGAATTGGGCGATGTCATCAAGTGAGTGATTGATGATTTAAAGTAGACCACTTTTGTTAGCTGTTTAGTATGGTCAAAGTAGTATCACATTTGTGATTAAAAGTGGTCCCTTAATAATTCATTATGATTTTATTGCTGTGTTGTGGGTAAGATACTCTGTGTAGTTGTAAGGGCAGTACTCTACAATTTACCTCTAAATATTTAGTAAAAGGTTTGTTTGTTAGTTTTACTTTTTACATTGTTGTGGGGGTTAATTAACTTCAGTGGAGTGAGGGGAATCTCTTTGTTGAATATTTCTTTTAACCTGTTCATTTTATTTAATCATTTTACAGTAAAGTTATTGATTTGAATGGATTTGATTGGTCCTTTACTCAATAAGTTCACTCTCTGAATAGTTCCTGAATTAAAATCTCTATAAATAACAGTTAAATGAAAAAAAAAGTTATTTAGTTTTAGAAATAACATTTGATAAATATTTGTTTTTAAAACTTTGTAGAATGACTCTAAAGATTTCTGTGTATGTTGTGATAGTTTTTTGAATAAAATATTTTCAAGTTTTTTATATTTTATATATTCAAATTTCAAATTTTATATATTTATATGTATTATTATGTAATTGTGTAAATATAATTTATTTACCTAACCTATTACTCTCTTTACCCCTAATAATGCTTCATCTCATTTTTTCTGTTTCGTTGGGAAGGTTTGTTTATGATGACCTTGTCACAAATGGAATCATTGTTCCAGAACAGGAGGTTCCTCCTCCTACTGTTCCAATGGATTACTCCTGGGCAAGAGTAAGACCTGTACTATGTTTTTTGATGGAAATAGCCTCTTATAGGGATCTGTTTCTGTTGCTTACCATGCTGAAACATTGGAGTGGGCTTTGTTTTGAAAGCACTTTATTTCACCTTTATTGTTATTAGTTTTTTGTTATTTTAAAGATAACTGGCAACAAAAATACATTAAAATTAAGATTCCAGAAAGAGGGTTTTTCCTACAAAAATGGATAAAATGGTCTAACATTCTTTTTTCAGGCATACTTTCAGCCTTTATACACTCTCAGAAATAAAGGTACGCAAGCTGTCACTGAGGTGGTACCTTTTTAAAAGGTAAACATTTGTATTTAAAAGGTGCATATTGGTACCTCAAAAGTATATATTAGTACCTACAAATTTTAAGAGGAACACTTTTGTACTTTTTACCTACTAATATGTACCCTTGAGGTATTATTATGGACCTTTTAGGTACAAATTTGTACCTTTTAAAAACATACCACCCAAGTGACAGCTCGCGTACCTTTATTTCTGAGAGTGTAGATCGTCTTTATTATGTCCATAATAATAGTATATAAATAAAAGATCACTTTCAAAAATTTCAACAAAAAAATCAATCACTCAGAAATAAAGATATTTGTGCTTATTTACATGCCCTGTTATGGATTTCCTCCTTTTGTTGAACACAACACAAGATATTTTGAAAAATATGGGTAACCAAAAATTGCCTGTCCTCATTGACTCCCATGGTTTGGAATGAGGTCAGGCATCTGCTTAGTTACTATTTTCTTTGAAATGTTTGTCACAATGTCACAATGCTACTAAAATGCGTTGCATAAGGAGGAAATCTGACCAAATTGATGTATTTATGCCTATAGGAGCTGGGGTTGATTCGAAAACCTGCGTCGTTCATGACTAGTATTTGTGATGAAAGAGGCCAGGAGGTCATATACGCCGGTATGCCCATCACAGAGGTGTTTAAAGAGGAAATGGGTGTCGGAGGAGTGCTGGGCCTGTTGTGGTTCCAGAGGAGGTTTGTCATTTAAAATTGGATCATTATGAAAATACAGAACAAGTAATATTTTACAATATTATTACAAAGTAAATGTTTACCTTTTTAAAAATGTTTTAGATTAGATTAAATTAAACTTTATTTTCATTACACATGTACAATTATAAGACAACTAAATGCAGTTTTGGTCTAACCAGGAGTGCACAAGGAACAAATTTAGGATGTAGGTATAAATTATAAGGAGCAATTATAGAAGTAACTATGGCGATATTTACAGATGGATGTACTATGACCATTATATACAGGTTGTATTATTTTTGAACAGAGATTTACAATAGATGAATATACTGTATGTACTGTACCAGTTGCTTTTGATAATCAGAGGTATGCAGTAGGGCTGTTACGGTGGCAATTCTTTACTAGCCCGTTGGTAAGTCACCAACAACCTCCGGTGTTGCAGTGGTGGTGTTTTTGTTTGTTTGTTTTTTGTGGGAGTGGGGAGGTGGAATCTGTGACAGAAGTTCACTTAAAAGAAGTTCACTTTAATTACTAACACTACCGTCATTCCTACTTTCAGAACATACATTTAAATATTTTACCATATGAAAATGCAATGAATTTATGAAAATTGTGAAATTAAAGCATTAGTCCAGAGATCTGGTCCCCGCGTCAGGTCAGGGTGCTTCAGTAGCCTTTAAAACTCACACAGGAAAGAACTAGACATTCATTTCATGTTTTAGTTAACTAATTCTTTAAATACAACTCTCTTGATCTCTAAAGGAAAAAAAAACGCAAAAGAAATTTGTCGTTAAATGAATTTTAGCAGAGATGCAACTGCCTGTCATTCACATTTGTTTTTCAGTTAGGGATTAGTTCTATAAGAGTAACCTAATAAAAATGTTTTGTTGGACACTGCACATTAGTCTACACTATAATTAAAATTATAATTTATTATATTCATTATTATTAAAACTAAGCTGTACAATTGATAAAACACAAAACCCTTTTTTAATGTTTTCTTTCATTTTCACATCGCTAACAGTTGTAATAAGAAACATCCCATTATGGGGCAGCGGTCTCAAGTTAGGACACTGAAAAATGCCTTTTGAGTTTAAAGATGATCAGCCTGCGAGGTCAAGTTAACAGTGTCATAAATGAAATAGATATAGTGCATGAGTAAAGAGAATTGGCTGCATCAACCTCTGATATGCACTGCATGTAGGCTGAATGTAATCTTTAAAAAATATGCAATACAAAACTTTAAGCATTTATGTTTTTTTTTTTTTTTTTTAAATAAAACGGAAAGAAATAAGGAGTAAAATATAATTTAAACCACTGGTTGGGCGCTGAAGCCATGATCCTTCTGCGTTAATAAATGGTATTGTTGTATAACATCAATGATGAAACCTAATAGCAAAATGCATACTATTGTTAGCCTACTATAAAAAGTATATGAAATAATGATGAAAAATCTACATTTCAAGCTGTTTGGACAGACATGTGTTGATATAGTGTATAGAAAGTCATATTGGGGTAAAATAAACACACCCAGTCCTTTTTTTCAATTTAACAACATAAAAACGGTAGACCAATTAGAGCGGTTTTCAGACCGACCACAAGTTAATGTAGGAGTGCGGTCCCCCCACCCACCGAATTGATTGACAGCTTCGTGCAGTAAGATGTTTCGGTAGTCACTTGTATAATCATACTAACAAGACCAGTACAGAAAAAGTACAGAAAGCAACCTATAAATAAAGGTCTGTTCAGTTTGCTAGTATCATCAATCCTATCCATTTTAGCTGGGTGTTTGCGTTTAGAAGACAGTAGTTAATTATACATTTAATTATGTGCAATTTTAATTGCGCAAATATTAAATAATTAATAATGTAGTGTTTAAAGGGTGTATGGGTAAAGTGTGGGGTGTATGAGGGGGCAAAATAGTCAGTGGGGGGCAGAGTTCAAAAGGGAAACAGCTCTGGAGAAAGAGCTCTTCCTCAGTCTGCTGCATGTTTTTTAACCTGAAGCACCTGATGGAAGGAAGGATAGAAAACAGTCTTGAGCAGGATGGAAGGGGTCCTTAAGAATACTGTGTGCTAGACGCAGATAGCATTTCTTCATTGTTGTCCTCAATGGCTGGAAGTGGGGTCCCAGTGATGCATTGGGCAGTTGTAACCCCCCAAGTTCATACAGTTCTCAGCAAACAATCCTGTGGTACACCAGTGTTGAGAGTGTCAGTGGTGGAGCAGATTTGGCCTGATCTAACATTCTGAGGTCTGTTGGTTAGAAAGTCCATAACCCAGTTGCAGAGAGAGGTGTTTATATCTAGGTCTCTAAGGTTGATAATTAACTTTGAGGGTATGACCATGTTGAATGCTGAGCTAAAGTTAACAACCAATATTCGTGTATAAATGTTTTATTGTGTATGAGTAGAGTATTGTATATGGAGACTGTGCTTCTGTTGCCACGGTAGGCAAACTGGTGTGAGTCCCGTGTGGATGGGAGTGAGTCTTTCAGATGTGCCAGAACCAAACGCTCAATGCACTACATGATGATGGATGCGAGTGCTATAGGGCGATAGTCATTCAGTCATGTTGGGCTAGAAGCACTGTCATGGATGTTAGGTGCTAATATTGTGAAGTGCAGTAGGGGGAGTTACTGAGATACTAGAGTGAGTTGTAATATACAGAAGAAGAGTAAAGTTAGTTAAAGAAACACAAAACATTCTTGATTCTCATTATCATCACATTAGACAAAAGAGGTGATTTTAAAGCAAATTTAATGCTGGAACCGCTGCTAGGTTAAGGGACAGGTTGAAAATGTCTGTGAAAACCCTAGCAAGCTGTTCTGCACATGCCTTGAGGACGTGTGGGAGATACCACCGGGTCCAGCAGACTTGCGCCCGTTGATCTGACTCAGTGTTGTGTAAACTTCTGAGGAGATGAGTATGATAGATGAGGGGTTAAGGAAGTGATACTGGTAGTGGTTTCTTTATTGTCTATTTCAAATTGAGCATAAAAATCATTAGCTTGTTCGGGAAGGAGACATTTGTGGCTGTGGGTGTGGAATGGTTGGGTTTGTAGTTGCTAATGGCCTGGATGCCCTGCCACATGCTCCAAGAGTCAGAGTTGGAAAAGTGCTCTTCTAGTTTTAGAGCTCCTGTAGCTTGGCCTCTTTGATGCCCTTTTTCAGATTAGCCCTGGAATTACTGTAAGCCTGTACATCAACTGATCTGAAGGCAGTGTTGCGTGTATAGCAAGTACAATTTGATTTGTCGTGCTAGCATATTTTTCAATGTGGGCCAATTGATCGGAAGAGAAGGAACGGCTACTGTAGAGAGAAAAGTAGCACATTGGATGAACTGTAATTTTCTTAACTGTAACTTTTCCAATCATAACTTCCTCTCTTGACCAAAAATGGTATGGTGGTGTAGTACCGCTCACTCTCCTGTTGACTCTTAAAGGGCCCATGACTTTAACACAATGATTAAGGGTCTACTCACACTATGCTATACGAACCGTGCCCAGGCCCGTTTCCTGGATCGTTTGAGAAGTGTGAGTGCTCTGAATCGGGCTCAGGCACGGTTCACTTTGAAGGCCCTGGGTTAGTTGAAAGAGGTGTGCCAGAGCGTGGTTCACATGAGCTTTGGCGCGGTACGCTTGTGTGTGAGTGCAAAACACGCTTAAGCCCAAAACTGAAAGCAAGACGTAACTTTTAAGGGACTGTTTCATATGTATTAATTACTGTTTAATGAAAGCAAACTGTCATAGATTATTAAAGACGCAAACCTCTCAATGAATGACAGCTGCACCTTCAACAAACCCCCTAATTCCTACAGCACAAGGACTGTATTATTGCTTATAAGTGTCAAAAGAGGCTGATCTGTTCAGCAAAATATTTGACTGCGTGTCACTGCATATCAAATGACTCAAACGATATAACTAAAACAATCTTCAATTTGCTGAGCAAGAGCACTTACTGAACAGCGCATTATCGATGCCGTAAGCACGCCCAGGCCCAAATGTAATGTGATTGCGGGCCTTCGGGGGAGGGGTGGACAAGCATGCTTTTGTGGTGGCTCGTGGTGTCTTTGCGAACGTTTCAATGTATTTCCTTCAACCTGGTCGATCACTGCCTGGCCACTCTGAAGATTTCTCTGATCAGCTTCATCATCTATTTCACTCAATATTTCCAGTTCATCTCTTTGGTCCAATAGTTCTGTATCATTTACTAAAGATAAGTTTTTCAACATATCTGTTCCAACATAATCCATTACAGGTGCATTCTCACTTTCAGGATCACTCATTGGACAGTCTTTATGTTCAGGTAAGTAAGGTAAGTTCTCTTGTGGTATCTCTATTGCAGTGATTGTACTTTTCACAACTCTTGTCTTACGAGAAAGTTCTGCCATCTGCCTGCCTCTTAAGGTTTCCACATGTCTTAGATTGAAGAGGATTCTGTTGTCGACTTTTGGTAAGCGTCTACGCAAGCAGTAATCCATTGAATCATCCTCTGAGTCAGAATTTTCAGTGATACTTTCAGGTTCTCTTGCACCAGTGTTTGTTTCCCTCTCGAGTTCTAGTTCTAAGGGGTGGTTTTGATTTTACTGGCTCAGCCAGGCTTTCTTGTAAGAACCCATAGGGCAGCAGCAAGTCTCGATGCAGTGTGCAAAGTAGACCATCCCTGTCTGTACTGACAAACAGTATAAACAGGTAAGTCTCTCGCCTTCTTTGGCACAACATAGACTTCTTTCTCCTACTTATCAGCCAATTTATGCTTTCCTCTCAGCTTGACATTCCATACTAGAACACAATCTCCAACCTCAAAAAATGAGGTAACCACTCACTCATCAAATCATTTCTTGTTCCTTCTTACTAATTTTCTTAAAATTTTTATAATTTTCTCAAAAGGGTGAGGCAGTGGCGCAGTAGGTAGTGCTGTCGCCTTACAGCAAGAAGGTTGCTGGATCGCTGGTTCGAACCTCGGCTCAGTTGACGTTTCTGTGTGGAGTTTGCATGTTCTCC